TATGTGGCCAGCATTACCCTGATATCAAAACTGGACAAAGATATGGCAAGAAAAGAAAATCATCAATAACTTCCAACTTGATGTCCAAAATAGGAGACTGTTTTGAAAAAGAATCTCGATTTAGTCATCCAATGAAACACTATGCAGCCATTAAAAATGATTACATATACATTCATTCACATGGAAGGAAGTATATTACAAATCACATTAAAAAGCAGGCTGAAACATCATACCCAGTGTGATAGTATAAAGACACACGCCAACACATATATATGTTTGAAATAATATACAGCAGGATAAATATTAAATATTTTCCTTAGATGGAAAATAACGTTTGCACATATGATTTTTATTTTCTGATATGTGACATAAGCTGATATTATTTTACTGTTAAATAAAATTAAAATTTCCAGTTGTGATTGGATTTGGACTGAAAACATGGGTTTACCACACTCCTTTACTAGCAGCAATAGTCTGTGTTTCACATAAAACAGATGGGCGCTGGGTTAAGAATTTTCAGAATAAACACCTTTAGACTTTGATGAATAAAACCGTAAAAGCGTCATGGCGTCAGAGAGAGCAATTCACAAGAATTTAAAAAATTCAAAGATTAATATAGGACATAATAGTAAGCTGCATTGAAGCAAGAGCTTATACTGAGATTTATTTTTTCTGAGTCACATGGAGATCACTTTCTATTACGGAAAACGTGGCAGGCATCTAATGGCTCAGGAAAGCATTAGGACCACAGCCAGTTACTCTAGTGGGCTGCTATATGGAAGTATAGGTATGAAAGTACAGCCAACAACTCCTTTTCTTGCTTCTGTTTACAATTATTGATTTTGAGATGTAAAACCCTCTAACAATTTAAGAGTAAGAAAAGTAGGAAGATGCTTTCCCAAGGCAAAACCTATAACCTGGGGTCTAGGTAACCTTGGTAATTAGTGAAACTCTTGAATTTGGTGGCAATTTATTCATGTGCAAATAAACTTTTTCTTGAGAAACGAGTCCATAGATTTGATGGTAATCCTGACTAAGTGCTCTATCTCCCCAAAATGAAGACATAATAACAAATCCATCAATGAAAGATTGATTTCAGCCTATCATTATTTCCTTGACTCATCAAAACTTAGTAACCAGTTGGGGCGCCTGGGTGGCTCAGTCGGTTAAGCGGCCGACTTCGGCTCAGGTCATGATCTCACGGTCCATGAGTTCAAGCCCCGCGTCAGGCTCTGTGCTGACGGCTCGGAGCCTGGAGCCTGCTTCGGATTCTGTGTCTCCCTCTCTCTCTGACCCTCCCCTGTTCATGCTCTGTCTCTCTCTGTCTCAAAAATAAATAAACGTTAAAAAAAAAAAAAATTAAAAAAAAAAAAATTAAAAAAAAAAAAACTTAGTAACCAGCAATACAGTGAGCCTCCAAGGAAATAGTTCTTTTTGTTTTTTAAGTTTATTTATTTATTTTGGGGGGGGGGAGGGAGGAGAGGATTCAAAGCTACTAGCACAGAGCCTGATGTGGGGCTTGAACTCATAAACCGTGAGTCATAACCTGAGATGAAATGAAGTCTGTTGTTTAACCAGCTGAGACACGCGGGTGCCCAAGAAAATATTTCTTAATGACACAATTCATTTCTGATATATTATAAAGATTTGGCAGGGTTTTTTTTTTTTTATATCAAACTATTCTTTTCCCCTTTCATGGTCACTCTTTAACTCAATGGCCCCCATTACCAGCCAGCATGTTGACACTACACAGTTACTCTTATTCTTACACTTCTTACTTCTTCCACATTTCTCTTTTTACTATATTTACACTTAGACTTCTGATGCTTCGCTTAAATCCATCTCACACATTTATCCAAGAAGAATTAGCTGACACCAAAGACCAATTGTTGGGCAGCATGGTGAACTAGTTAATTAGCTGCGTGGACTTAGACTCTCTTCACCTAAACACAGCACACTAGAGCAGCAGGCTAGTAAAATATACAACAACACCATACAAGAAAAGAACAATCCAGCAAAAACCATGGAAAGCTAACATGAGATAGTAATCTTTTCTTTCTTTAAGAAAGACTTTCAAAAAGCAAAAGCCATAGGGGCACCTGGGTGGCTCAGTTGATTAAGTATCTGACTCCGGCTTAGGTCATGATCTCACAGTCAGTAGGTTTGAGTCCCACGTCGGGCTCTCTGGTGACAGCTTGGAGCTTGGAGCCTGCTTCCAGTTCTGCTCACTGGCACGCTCTCTGTCTCTCTCTCTCTCTCTCTCTCTCTCTGCCCCTACCCTGCTCATGTTCTGTCTCTCTCTCTCTCAAAAATAAATAAACGTTAATTTTTTTCTAAAGCAAAAGCCATCTATAATCTACAAGGTCCACAGAAAATAAAAAATGCAAAGAGGGCATGATATCAGAATACAATGAACACACTTAGCTTTGGAGACAAAAATAAATAAACAAAATCACCCCATTGTTTTATTATTCTCATTTCACCACAGACAAGTGCTAAATGTTAAAGACTCATTGGGTCTAAATCTACTGCACAGATTATGGGGAAAAAAATTGAATTAGCAAAACTTTAAGAGTCCTTCCACCTCTAAAATCCAAAGATTCTGTAAAGCATCTGTAATCAGCAAACTCTAAAAAATACTACATTGAAAGTACATACTGTATTTAGTGAACCTAACCTTGACCTCATATGTACTATCATCATCTCTTTTACTTATTTCTTCCCATTATTTCAATGAATTTGTTTGCCAAGTTGCTAATATGTCGCACCTACGTGAGCATATGTTTTGCTTTTCGTTTATAGATTTTCCTCTGCAATATTCATTTCACACTTAATATTCTTTAGATGTTCTAATCTGCATCTTTAGATAATTCAGGTAAGTATCCACTGACAACACTTTAATTTAGGAAATATCTTGGCAAGTTTAACTTGACCATACCATTCCCAGTCCAAAGAACATTTTAAGTAGGTAGAAATTAGCTTTATTATTGTGTTTAAAAAATAAAAATAGCCTGGGGCACTTGGGCAGCTCATTTGGTTAAGCATCTGAATCCTGATTTTAGCTCAGGTAATGATCTCACAGTTCATGGGATTGAGCCCCACATTGGGCTGTGTACTGAAAGTATGGATCCTGTTTGGGATTCTCTCTCTCTGCCCCTCCTCGCTTGTGTTTCTCTCTCTCTCTCTCTCTCTCTCTCTCTCTCTCTCTTGCTCTGTCTCTCAAAAATAAATAAATAAACCAAAAATCAGCCCAGATGAATACATAAACTGTATTCATTCACATTTTTTGCAATTATTACTTTCAAGTCAAACAATTTTAAGTGTATTCCCATGGTACTGTTTCAGTTGAGCCAATGTCCAATAAATGCTGCCCTTATTAGAAATAAAAAATAATACTAGGGAAGCAGATACTTTTTTTTGAAGGTAAAGGCAATCTTTAGTAAGTAATTAAAATTATGTTTCAGGTTGGAGACAAACACCATTTATTTATACTGAAGTATATCCTTTGTCTCTACTCATTCACTCTAGAACTTGTGCTTTTAATATCACATGAAAAAATGGTGTCAAAAAGAAAGTAATTTGCCAGTAAACTAGTAAATTATTATACTTAGGTAGTAGGTGATTTTAAGAAAAGGAAACAGTATAAAATAACAGTGGTCTAGATGAGTATTCTGTAATTCTCCTAACAGGTTACATAATGAAATCCATGTGACGTGGATGTGAATGCCCCTCATGAAGGCCAGGAAAGGGAGCCTGTATGGTCGCAGCTGGGAGCGCTGGTGCAGCCTGGGTGCCCTTATCCACACTACGTTCACAAAAGTTGTGACTTAGGACATAAATTAAGCTACGATAAGATAATAATGGTTCCCATTCCATTTTATACTCTCATAGCCACCCGGCCAAAATTGTAAAGTGTGGGGTATAAACAGCAGTCAGTAGGGGGTGGTGGGGGACCGGGGGCAGCATCCAGGCTGACTTTTTCCCCCATGTTGAGCCTGACAGTGTCACTCATACTGTCCACTGCCACCTGTGCTTCACATCTGCTCAGTCAGCTGTGTGTGGGGCCCCCAAGTGGACAAAGACAACCCATCCTGTCCTATACCCTCCCACCCACCCCCTGACCGCAGAGCTCTAAGAGACTCTGAATTTTAGACATGAACTACGTCAGGGGTCATCCACTCCACACACCGTATTGTAGAGCGGATCACAAATCTGAGTGATGCAGGGAGATGATTCAGGTTCATTACGCTGAGGGTCTGACATCTGGATTTCATGACCTGGAAATTTGGGAGTACACACATGTTTAGATGTACTCCCAAGGTCCTGCACAATTACTGTCGTGCACGCCCAGCCACATGCACGCACACGCACACTCATCTCTGCACTCAACACTTAGAAGCCTACATAAATCTACCCAAGTCTTCCCACTTTTTCGGAAATGAGACATTCAGCAGCTTTGGTAGCTGAGCTATTCTTCATGACACAATACGTAGGTCAGGCTGCCTTACTGCTTAGGTCACAGCTGGACTGGCACATCGCCAGGAAACTCACGCTCACCTTCTTCTGATTTTTCCCCAGCCCTACACGCGCACGGCCACAAACCCATCCCTCACCCCGTGCTCACTCCTAGTGACGGCAGCCCCTGTGCTCTTCCTGTCACTCTGCATCCTCAAGCAACACCTGCTGCACGCCCACACTCTGCCGTGGGCCCTCGCTCTGCCTCCCTGCTCTTCCAAAGTCACCACCCCTTAGTGTGAACATCTACCCTCCACGCGTTCCTGGGGGTCAGAGGGAAATACAATCATTCTCCCAGACCCAGATGGCCCCTCCCCTTCTTATTCTTCCTTCAAGGAGTTAAACAAATGTTTTTGTTGATAAGCACAGAAAACAATCTCAAATCATATAAAGAAAGTCCGAGATCATCCTCAACCAACACATGCAGTGATGAAAACTATAGTAAGGTTGTAACACAGGGACAAAAGGAAAAAAGAGTCACTAACGTCTCTATCCAGAACTCTGCCCGTGCTGTTCAGGAAGAGCATTTGCTTGATGGGGTCCAGCAACACCCAGTAATCCACGTTGTCCTTTAAGGAAAGTTCGATGGTGGGGTCTGGTCCTCCCGCAGTCCCTTTGATCAGCATGTTATCCACCAGAATCGTACCTGCGGGCCAGAGACAGTTATTTGAAGACATATCCTACTTGTACAGCATCTTTAACAAGATCATACGCTTAAATGCCAGCTGACCGGCAAGTCTGTTTTAAAGCAAAAAACATCCAACGTAACATCTGGCATGATACAGAAGACGTCCTGTTTCAAAAGGGTGAAAATCACCTTCATTCCACTATTTATAAACGATGTTTCTTTGGACATGAGGGTGGCAGCCAGAGATTCAGCCACTTGGTGAGTTTCATCATCTATTTCTTGTTTCCCTTTGGACAACTTAAACCTGCTCCCCTCCCTGTCCATTGCTTCTCACAGGAGTCATCACTGGGTTTCACCCTGAACAAAAGGAGATCCTGAAGTAACAGAGGCTGATACTTCAGTTCACTAAGTAAGACTTCCGATATGAAAAGAGATGTCCTGAAAATAAGAGAGAGGAAGAAAAGGAATAAAGAAGTAGCAGGGTCTCCCATGGTGAGAACTGCTTCTTTCTTCTTTCATCTTAGAGCAAATCCATAAAACATAAATCTCAATGTGAAAGTCAAAAGTAGCGTGCAGACCCACGACTAAGTCCATTCTTCTTTAAGACACGTCTGGGGTGCTTGACCAGAACACCACGCTAGTCCAATGTGGCATTGTGATGCTTGCTTTCTTATTATCCTTTCAGCAGGCTAAACTGTGGACATTTGTTGGATGAGTTGAAAAGACAGGACATCTCCAATCTTCCCTATTTTGTTACAGATTCCATGCATTTTACAAGTTGGATGCAAACAGCACTGATGCAATTCAAATCCCATTCCGCACACCCCCGCCCACACACACACCAACAATCCCTTTGCCAAAGAGTAGTGCACTATAGCTTAGGGCAATCATTTTCAGCCCATCCATTTTATTAAAATTATGGCATCTGGAAAAGATGTGGCTATGCAAATAAAAATGTACCCCCCGAAAAACATTAGAATAAATGGAATATCTACAGAACCCATTGCCTCAGGATAACACACAATAATATATAGATAATCCATAAATATAAATCTAGCTTGAATAATAATGCAAAATGTGACAGCTGCATTTTCTTAAGGCCCAAATGTTATATCATTGTATAGTTACAAATAAGGGGGGGGTCTCTTTGGAAGATTTTCTCAGCAAATTAATAGTAATAGTAATAGTAATAATAACAATAGTAATAGCTGTAATATTTCTTTATAACATTATTATCAGTGAGTTTTACCTGCCTAGGGAATGTTGAAAGGAATAATTGTTCTTCTGTAACAATAAATCTGAATAATGATTAAACACACACACACAAATGCATGTCTAAGTGAAGATTATTTCCTTCTACTTTTTCCACATACTAGTACACATAGATATAAAAATTGAGTGAAAGTGATTCTTCTTTTTTTTTTTTTTTGAAATGGCAAATGACTAGCTACAGATAATACATCCAAAAGTACAGTCTGACAATGATGGCATTTTCTTTTCTTTTTTTTAAGTTTCTTTATCTTGAGCAAAAGAAAAGAGTGCTAGGGGTGGAGGGGCAGAGAGAGAGGGAGGGAGAAAATCCCAAGTAGGCTTTATGCTGTCAGCCTAGAGCACTACAAGGGGCTCGAATCCATGAACTGTAGATCATGACCTGAGCGGAAATCAAGAGTCAGACACTCAAATGATTGAGCCACCCAGGGGTCCCAATGATGGCACTTTCTCACCTAGTAATATGTTCAAGGCTCAAGTACACACTTATTTACAAATAATTCATAAAACTAACCCTTAAAAATTATGTGGTAAGTACTTTCAATATTAGGGAAGTCAATGGGATTCTATTTTCTGTTTAAATAAAATAAAAATAGAGAGGGAGGTAAACCATAAGAGATACGATGGAGTATTACTCGGCAATCAAAAAGAATGTAATCTTGGCATTTGCAAAAACGTGGATGGAACTAGAGTGTATTATGCTAAGTGAAATCAGTCAGTCATAGAAAGACAAATATCATATGATTTCATACATATGTGGAATTTAAGATACAAAACAGATGAACATAGGGGAAGGGAAGTAAAAATAATATAAAAACAGGGAGGGAGGCAAGTCATAAGAGACTCAAATACAGACAACAAACAGGGTTGCTGGAGGGCAGGTGGGTGCGGGATGGGCCAAATGGGTGATGGGTATTAAGGAGGGCACTTTTTGAGATGAACACCGGGTGTTACATGTAAGTGATGAATCACTGGGTTCTACTCCATTTTTTATTAATTGTTTTAAATCTTTATTTATTTTTGAGAGAGAGAGAATGAATGAATGAATGAATGAGTGGGGGAGGGGCAGAGACAGAGGGAGACACAGAATCCAAAGCAGGCTCCAGGCTCTGAGCTGTCATCACAGAGCCCGACGCAGGGCTTGAATCCACAAACTGTGAGATCATGACCTGAGCTGAAGGCGGACACATAACCAACCGAGCCACCCAGGCACCCCTAGTCCTGAAACTAATACTACACTGTATGTGAACTAACTTGGGTTTAGATAAATAAAAATAAATAAACAAAGGAATGTACAATAGCAGGTGAACTAACAGGAGGTTTATGCCTTGACTCACCCATGCATCACTGCAGGGGCAGCAGTGTCTGAAGGCACAGGGACACACCATGGGGACACGTGGAAGGATGGGGCAGTGAGCTCCCCTTTACGGTCCAAATGGGTTGTAACCAGAGGAAGGTGTAATCATTATGTTAATGACAATTCACACAGTGAAACTAAAACAACGTATCTGGACTTATACTTTACGTAATTTTTTTTTTTTTAATTTTCATGGAGAAAATCTGTTTTCTTGCTTCCTTGTCAGCTCTGTGGTTTTGGTGACTGGGACTCATCAGTAACTGGTCCTAGTGCTGGTATGGTGACAAAGGAAGAGCTTCTCTTCTCTTTCACCAGAATATGCCTTCATATTGCCAAAATCTCTCAATACTTTCACAAGCCATGTTACCTTACAGCAAAAGTTTGGAGAACCAGAGAGAATGGAGCATGGCTGAAGGAGGCATGACACAAAGGGCAATATTTTTCAAAAGAAGGAGGAGGAGGACGAGGACCAGGACCAGGATGAGGACGAGGACGAGGACAAGGACGAGGATGAGGAGGAGGAGGAAGGGGAAGAAAGAAAGAAGAAGCAGGAAGCAGAAGAAGGAGGAGGGAGAGAAAGAAAAGAAAAAATGAATGAATAAATCAGGGAGGAGGAGGAGGAGGAGGAGGAGGAGGAGGAGGAGGAGGAGGGGTGCGAGAGGAGAGGAGGAGGAAGAAGAAGGAGGAGGAAGAAGAATGTAGGTGTTCCTTCTGGTTTTCCCAGAGAGCCCCGTCTTCCACCTCCTCCCAGTAGAGCAGGGGACTTGTGGCCCAGGGTCATGGAGGGTCTGTCTGCAACCTGGTGGTGGGGACTACACTTGCCACAAGTCAGGGTGTGAGCCTGGGCATCTGGGTACTGAGACAAGGCTGGCCAACAGCTGTTCGGCAGGAAATCTGGGCATTTGGGGAGAGCATGGTAGCTTTGCCTCCTCTCTTGTTCTGCAAGCTTCCACCTTTTCCAGTAAAACCTTTCTTTTAACCCCTCCCGTGTGATGCTGAAAATCTATTCCTACCCCTGATTCCATTTGGAATATAAAGACACAGATACATGAAAAAGAAAAGGGTAGGATACATAATGCAGCACTGATTAAGGAAGCTGGATGGCTCTATTACCAGAGAGCAGACCAGAACAAAGGCTATTATTACAGGTGATGAGACATACTGCATCAAAGTCGAAGGATCCATTGATCAACAGGTGTTAACCTGAAGAGATCTGTCTTGAAGAATATGTTAGGACCCAAGACAGGCTCCTCTTCTGTGAAATTTTCCTTTTGCCATACTAAGACTACTACTACTACTAATAATAATAATAAACAGTTGCAATCAGGAAAAAGGAATTAAACTTAGTTTGATATTCATGTCACAGAAGTTAAGACAGCCTGCCCTGGAAGTGACAGAATCCAGTCCTGGGTCCACCACTTGCCAACTGTGTGAAGGTGGCTCGATTACTTAACCCCACTCACCTTCAATTTCTCTTTTTATAAAATCAGGACGAAAGCAGGACAGATAGTTCTATAATGCTGTACATACGTAACTGAAAGACACATGTATTCTTGTATCCAGAGCACTAACAGAAACCAAAGTAGTTGAAAATCAATAAAAACACTAGAACAGTTAAATACTTAATGATATTTTCACAAAACATCATGGCCTATGTTTGCCAACCTTAAACCCTGGGCTCTGTGTTCCTTCCTTCAAAAAGTAGGTATTGAGGGTGATTTGCTACCAGGTAGAGACCTTTTTCATCCAAATTAGAAACTTGGTTGGGTGTTTAGCTTTCTTCATGAATCTATTATTCTAATTCAGAAAAAAATAACTCTGCAGTCACTTCATCTATATCTATAACTTCTCCAAGCAGACATATCTATCAGGTGTAGATGCTAATTCAGGTTCTACTTGTACTAAATAAAGGGACTGCAGATTTTCAGCTTTGTTCTTAAGATCTTCTCACAAGTCTTTCTTCTTAAGTATGGAAAAAGCTTGTCCAGAATATTTCAAAACATAAACATACTATAAAGTAACTTATGCATCAATACAATTTCCTTGTTACACCAATGCCATTCACTACTTACTGATGTGCATAATGTAAGTGCATCAAAGAAGAGCCTGTTGGGTTCCTGGATGACTGAACTGGATAATACATGCAAAGCACTGATTGCTATCCCTCATACAGAAGAAGGACTCGAGCATTTGTAATTATGGTTACTGCTGTTGATGCCATTAACACCATTTTGAAAGAGAAATGACCCAAAGCTAAAGCAAAGTGATTTCTTTTACGTCCCAGTGTTCTTTACTAACCAAGTCTACTGTTCATTTCACAAAGCTAGGATTATCATGTTTGGTCAACACACAGACATGGCGGCAGTCTGGAAGAATTTTTATGGACTCTGAA